CCTCTCGAAAACGTCTTTACAGGATGGACCAAAAGTTGGCTCTTGGCCCAAAGCTCCGTTCCACATGTGTGTCAATGCTGAGGGGGGTGGATTTTTTTGGTCCACTCTAGTTTACTTGCTGTGAATTTTTGAAGTCTCTCCTTCAAATGAATCGAGCTTGCGCCGGCTGACGCATGCACAGATGCGTTTTTTCACAATTTTCTAATGGGCCGGACCACTCGTGGCCATTTTGGATAGCTCCAGTAGAGCACTATTTTTGGCCTATTAGTTTGAACGGCGAAGATAGGTGTGACTACGTCCGTTAATTTTTACAGTCTATGGTATATTCCAAAGAAAATATAAACATGCATACAATGTTGATGCTGATGTTTTAGATTAAGCAGATGTAGGTCTTGTCAGATGATTCCCTCTGGCGTCCGTCACAAGAGGTGATGGATCTTGGAGGGAGGGGAGGTGAGAATGTCTCTGGAAACACAGGCGGTTTTCATTTGAGAATGATGCCCACTCTATTCTTTTTTTTTTGTAGGAGTTTTCTTTTGAAGTCCACACAAAAAACACTCCATTTAATTTTTTTCCCCCTAGATTCTTAAATTGGATCATTAGGGTTAAACGACTGTCCAATGTTGATTTAATTGTTAGAAAGGTCAGGCAATTAATGTGTAATTTGCTGAATTTGACGTTCAAATTTAGTGTGAATGTAATTAAAGCTTTAGACTGACCCAGCTTACTGTAATTTTCCTGTTCAAAAATATTTTAAGACACAGGGCCAGCATAAACGTTGTGTTGCCATTGGTATATGGACAAACATTGCTCTCTTCAATAAGTGTAAACTGTTTAGTAGGGCTATTACACGATGTCAGGGAACAACGCCTGTGCTGACCCGGGAGCCCTGTCAGTTTGACTGGGGGCCCCTTGGAACCACAGGGGCCAGTGTCCGGCAGTGAGACTAATTTGACATGTGCTGCAGTACTGCACTAAGCCAGATGAGCTGAGAATACTCTATTGTTTGTGGCAATGCATTAAAGTAACCAGAAGACTCTATGCCGATGGGGTGCATGGATAAAATAACCATTCATCGTAAACAAAAAATGGATTCTGTCAGTGGAAAGATACTTGGTTGTTGCTAAGAGCGAAAAACTAAAATCTGCCTCGTACCACAGGGGTGTCAAACTTTGCCGTTAGTTTTTTTTATGTTAAAAAACATAAGGGCTTTGGACATTGAGGCTTTAGGTATGTGTTTTCATGATATTTGTAATGCACTTTAAATTTGACGCCAAATCCCAAAGTGCAACAGAATAAAAGATATTACGGATTTTGCACAGAAGCAGTGAAAACTCAAAGCCAGTGACCTCCCTACCCATAGGCAAGGCAAGTTTATTTGTATAGCATAATTTATACACAAGGCAACTCAAAGTTGCTGAACAGAATAAGATAGAAACAATCAAACAAGGCATTAAAATAATAAATAATCACAGTACAAAAATTAAAGTTAAAATGAGCAAAACATTTTCAGTTGTATTCACAGCCTGGATTTGAACATTGTCAGAGTAGAAGCCTGTCTCACATTTTCAGGAGGACTGACTCTGAGCCCGAGAATCACATGGCGCTAACATGTCACTTATGTACTTTGGTGAGGCCATGGAGAGACTTATACACAAGCAGAGCTGCTTTAAAGACTGTTCTCTTGGCCACAGGAATCCAGTGCAGAGACCTGAGAACTGGACAAATGTGATCATACTTCCTGGTTTTAGCATACAAGTATTTAATTGCAGGCCAGAGCAAAAGCTTTTGCCCCTTCCCAGTTATTAATAGAATATTATCAAGCCATCTGAGCTGCACAACAATGTTGAATTGGTCTTTTGTCCCCAGGTGCAAATTATTGCTTACCCTTGATTTAAGATTGTTTTCTAGCATATCTGGTATCAGGTATGAATCAGGATTGATCTAGTAATTAAAGTTTTGTCAGCTCTGCTCAGAGCATTGCTGTGAGTTTGTTTGGAACTAAAAGGGAGCAGTACGTTTAAAGAAAGTTGTCCAAGTCTTTGCAACTTCTTGTAAATACTATAATTGCCTTGGGTTGTATCATCACGCTGAGTGCCTGAGCGTGTGCCAAGAGAAGTTCTCCAGAAGTGTGCGTGTTTTGGTTGGCAGTGCAGTTCTTAAGCCCAGTATTCAGTCAGTCCCACTAGGGCCAATTGGTAACAGTTGTGGTCGGGTCCCTCTGCATAATACAACAAGAAAAATGCTCCCTCTCATTGCGAGTCCTCCAGAGAAATAATCAAACAAGAGAATTAGCCCTGCTGGGTGAGTTTGTATTTACACAGCCAAGAACAAAAACAATGGTATCATCCATATTCATTGCCCACTCTTACAAGATGTCAAAACTACCACAATAAGTGTGTCACGGCATCGACAGGAATCCTGAGGCGTTCCCTGGCCAGCTGGGAGACATAGGCCCTCCAGCGTGTCCTGGGTCTGCCCCATGGTCTCCCAGTGGGGACACCACCTCAGGAAGTCGTTCATGAGGTATCCGAAACACGCCTGAGCCACCTAAAACTGGTTCCTCTTGATGTAGAGAAGCGGCGGCTCTACTCTGAGGTGGAAACTCTGTGATCTCATGCTTTCGGTCATTACCCCCATGAGCTTTGAATTTACATACACCCCTCTCTTGCATACTGTTTGTATGTAGCGCTCCAAACTTCCAATTCACCATAATTCTGTGAAACATCTTTTGGTATTGTTGTTAATTAATTTATTTAAAACTTATTAATTTAAACTTTGATTCATATTGACTCTTTAATTATGCTCCATTTGTCCCTCCTTGTGCAGCTCCCTTCATTTATTCTGGGATTAGGAGCTGAAATCAAGCCTGGAAAGTAATCCTCTACTGAACATTGCGTCACTTCAATCTGTAAGGGTTTCCACTTTGGATATCCACAATCTAGATAACTATCTGTTGGACGGAAAGCAGAACCGCAGAGCACTTGACATTCAGTTCAACTTTCACTATCGCCAGTAGTGAGTAATGGCTGAAAGAATAAAGTCACACTAATACTTTGTCATGAGCCACAAATGATTATCCCCCATGCATAATTTTATTGATGTAAGCCTTAAATAATAATAAAAGGGTGGGGGAGAGAAAAAAGTGCTTATTTCATACTCTCACCCCTCATTGAGCAATTCCTGGCACAATCTCCTCAATTGACAAGTCTTACTAGAGAATACATTCATTTGAAGGACATTTTCAGTGAGTCCGCGAATACCACTCTGAGGAAATTGGAAATTTGGTTTGATTGCTACTGTGCAAATAAATCTATCAAAGGACAATCATTAAATTACTAAATAAATGATTGTTTTGTGAGTGAGTGCAGCTGCAGGTGGTGCACCTTTGCCATGAGTGGTTGGAAGTCATCTGTGAATTCTGATGTTGTTACAAAGCCAGAGCCCAGTCATAGGACTTGGCACAGAGCGATCCACAACATCCTCTTGTCTGGTGTGAGTAGTGCGCGGTGCAACTGGCTCAGCTGTCTGCCAGTGCAGGAAGTGCTGTCTCTGTCTGTAAATTGCTGCCTGATGCGATGATGATTTGTGAATCTTGAGGGACTTTGCACACACGGACCTCACGTCTCTATCCAAGTAGTCATGTTTTACTTCCCCCATTTTGCGTTAGCCTCCAGCAAGCTGCCAAGTCAAACGGTGACAAATCAGTTATTTGTTTTTAATCCTACACGCCAACAAGAACCATTAGACTTGCAGTTTTGTGTCTTGAATGACTTCAGGAGGAGTGATGTGGTTTTCACTCTACTTGGACCAAATTTTGAGTTTGAATATCCAGGTTCTTTTGATATTTTTTTTGGCTCTTCTTTGTTGTTAATGGAGTTACTGAAGGACCTCGACAGTAGTTGTCATCGCAGCAGAAGAAGAGATAATAAGCAGGCCTCAGTACCGCGTCTGCAGACATACATTCAAATTAAATGCACTCTCAGTGTTGACTCATATCATGTCATAAAACCTTTGATCTCCCACAGAAGCAATGAGGCACTTTGTTCAGAGAGTTCACTAAAATGTGTATCTAAAATAGGGGCCATAAGGATAACCAGTAATTCAACTCTGAACAAAAGTAACTGCTAATGTATTCATAGAGCACTTTCTAAAACGACTAATGCTTTGGTCTTAAATGTGCCGTTTGTGTGTCGTTCTCATTTCTAGTTCCAGTGTAGACCAGGATTTTGGGAGAATAATCTGCGTGCAGAAGGATCGATTGATTTGATATTTACGTTGTAATACGCCCTAGCGGGATCAGTCTGTCACATACTAATAGTCCTACGGGTATAGATTTGTTCGACCAGTGAGAAGTCTTTCCTGGTTTCGTCCACAGCCATCTTCTTCTACGCTGCTTCTTTACAGATGCTGTTAACTGAAGCTCAGTCCACATTTGGGTGTTTACCTTAATGATAGAGAGCAGCTTACTTTCTGGATCTGGTCAGAGGTGTCGAAATATCACTCCACCATCTTCAAAACCCCACAGGGCAGTCACTTGACAAGAAAGTACAATTTGATGTTTTCAACAGTTTAGACGAAAGAGTGAAGCATTTTCATGATTTCTTTCTGGAAGGTGACATTACATTTTTGTGTTTTTAACTCTTGAAAACCATGTTGCTGACAAAACAATTTGGACATGTCGGCTCATCCATGATTGTTGCTCAAACAGAACTTTATAATGAATATGAAGTACATTGAAATAATCATATAATCATACTGGGTCACACACTTTGTTATCAGACCAGTTGTGAATTCTCATCAAAGATTGCCCTATGTTTCATTTTATAGATTGTTTAATGAGTTTACAGTAACATTTTAATAAATATATAAAATGCAAACATTAAATAGAACACGCCTCCATGGTTGACATAATTTCAAATATTCTGATATCTCAAGACTAGTGACATCAACATGAAATGATAACTACTAACTCACTGAATGTTTATTTCTTCCCACAGAAATCATTGATGACCTTGCAAACCTTGTGGACAATACTGACAACCGGATCCGTAATGAGACGCGACGAGTCAAACTGATTGAAACCAAGTCTGCAACATGCGGTAAAGAAATCTTACACACTTTATGAAGTCAAATGAGCATTCATAGTTTATCACAAAAGAAAACTGCTACCCATGTTTTGTGAAAAAAGTTAGATTTTTTTTGTCCCCCATATGACATTAATGAAGGACCTTGCAGCCTTTCCCGCAACATTTGTTAATTAGCAGCAGATTAGTCCGTTCACTACTGTTTGATTTGCCCTTGTTTTCACGAGGGTTGAGAATGGTGCTCAATGAGGCAGAAGGATGACATGATGGGGACCAGCCCGTTTGGCAGAGAGCGCTGTGCTGCTGAATGGAGGGTGGACCTCATCTGTCTCTTAGGCTTCAGACATATTAGAATCGCCTTTAAGCTCTTCTGAATGCTAACAACACACCTTCTCCATTAACCAGCCTCTGTTTTAGCTTGTTTGAGTTGCTTGTCCTTTTCTCTGCGGCAGCCTGGTGTATTGTGTATCTTTAGCCAATCAGTGGTGATCTAGTTTTCCCAGTGAAATACCAAGCCACATTGCTGAAGGCGGCATCATTGTGCTGGGGGACGGGGCTAACAGGTGGTCACACACACCAGAGAAGCAGTGTGAAGGGCAGCCCCTGAAATAGTTGGTTTTGTCTGCGTGGTCCCCATGGTCTCCGAGCGCGAGTTTGTTTGAATATCCCAGCGTCGACACACAGAGACACCACCAACAGTTTGTCTTGTTAATTTTATCGTTATGTAGTTTTCTGTTGTGTGCTGGATGATGATTTACAGCGAGTGACCCAGTGATCAGTAGGGCCGAGCAGCACAAGCAGCAGTTTTAATCAAATTGAATTGTTGATAACTGGAATGGTTGAGTTGATGCAGAGATTCTCAATTTGAATCAAATCATTTCAAATGAATTTACAGAACACATTTAAAACTGCTTACACATAAGAAAGTGCTGAACAATAGAATACTTAAAAAACACATCAAGATGAAAACATTTTTTTTTTACAAACGCAAAAACAAAAAGGCCAAATTCATGCCAACCTTTTCATATCAGATTCCGATTCATTTATTTGCCCTTTGCAGTAAAACCACATTGGACTAAATTTGCAAAAGTGTGCACAAGACAAGTACATACATAAAACAAGTGTTATATAACCTTTTATTTAGACATTTTCTCCGAATTTAGAAGCCTTCAGACGCTGAAGGCTTCCGGACTCAAGGTCCATACAAGAGACAACACAAGGACACCACAAGACACAGAAACATAAAAAATAAAACAGCAAAGTCTAAGGACTTATTTACAAAGACACTTGTACCAGTGTTCCCAGAATTGAGAAATACAGCATGTTGTACTGAACTTGACATTCACCAAAACAACAACAACAAGTTTCACAGACTCGTTCAATCGGCGAATAAGACTAAACATTGCATTTCTCAGGACAGACTTCAGTGTGTTCACTCTGTTGCTCACGAACAACTCACTCGCATGAGTCGATCTGGGCTTCTTTAACAGCATCCTCAGAGCGTCATTGAAAGCTACCTGCAGTTTCTGAAGAGTAGTTTTTTTGTAGTTCAACCACAGATGTGCAGTATAAAGGAGAGCAGTAAGCTTTAAATAAGGTCAACTTCACATCAACATTGCAGCAACCATATTATACTTGATTTTTCATTCATAGTTAATTATATTACTATGTCTTGTATATTTTTTGTTGGCATTTTGGCAAATTGAACAATACAACAAAAATATCTGTTTTTAGAAGCAACAAATTTGGTGGTTCTTAACTTTTAGTGTCACCAACAATCATTTGAGAAAAAAGATACACTTATAAAGGCTTTATTGAATACAAATACAAACCAGCTTTGTCAACTAAAAAGCTGTCAACTAAATCAAACGTTCAGATGCCTGCTGCATTTTCGAAAATAAGTGAAATATTTTCGTATGCTCTTATGTATTGACTAGTGACAGGCGCTAAGGGCAAATGGAAAATTCCCCTATGGTCGTTTCGCTCTCGCCTCCTCTCTGTCATCCCCTGTTCATGTCTTCAGTTGTTTGACACTCGTCTTTGTGTGGAGCTGAGAAAGGATTGAAAATACAACATGCCACGAATTGTTAGAGCAGCTTCCCCCCGTCCTCTGTGGCCGTGTTTATAATTCCTCAGCTTTAGAGCTTTATTTGTTTTTCTAAAGTTGGAGTTTGGTGTTTTGTCTCAGCTGAGGATTGCTTTATTTGGACATTATGTTATGTTGCCTTCTCTGTGAAAGTTGATTTTTAAAATGTGGATATTATTTAGCGATTTCGTATTCCTCTTTAGGTGACCAGATATCCAGACATCTCCTATTTAGTTTTCAGCCCTTTATCCAGTGTCTGAACAGATGTTTCCAAAAGCAGCCGTTTATTCACAAATTTCTTCTCCAAACTTAACATTTCCAAAATTATCATACAGTATTATGTAAATTTTTTATATAGGATGAAATGTGCATGAAATTCTAAACCAACATGGAGCATAAGGAGCGCTTTAAAATGAACATTATATATTCATGTTCACCCTGACTTGGATTTGTTAAAAAGTTGATATGGTCACCTTTCACCATTTACTTTATTGTGGTTTTGGTTTTGATATATCTTGTGGTTTGGGTCGGGGGGGGGGAAAGAAAATATATGTAAGCTTAAATGATCATGCAACCACACGACAAAAATCTGCATATCAACAATAGTGATTATACCTGGAGCCCCATCGGAATCCAACACTATCGGCCTTTAGAATGCCTTGATATTGTGTGAAACCCGGCAATGGAGGGTGCCTCTAAGTTGGATCCTTTAGTTGGTGGATGTGAATAGTGGCAGTCGAAGTCCTGAGGCTTAGTGTGACGAGGAAACGGCGGCGCTGGAGTGGCCGCTCTCACCAGGCTAATCTGTGTGAAGGAGCACTTGTGTCCCCTCACATCCTGCAGGTGGCTTGCATCTCAAGTGCGGCCGTTATAACACTGGAGGCTGATACTGTGGGAGGAGGGCAGAAAACACATCCCATCCAATCTCAGTTCACGAGCAGAAAGGGTGATTAGAAAAGGTGGGGAGTATGGTGTACATTAAATTGTCACATTTGTTTTACATGTATTGTTTTTGGGGCACCGCACACAAGCTAATGCAGCTTCCTAGCCTTCTATAAAATGGCTACAAACTTTAAATAGGATGTGTATAACTTGTACGGCTATGAGATTTTGTCAATAAAGAGATAAAGAATTGATGTCAATTAAACACATAATCCAGTCTACACTGTGCAAAAAAAAAATATGGGCAGCCACAGTTACTATTAGCTAAAGTCAGCTAAGAATAAATAATGACCCAAAGTAAAAACAGGAATAGACACATTTTTGGTAGATGGCTAACTCTACACTAAACTGTATCAATGTGTTACATTTTGGTCAATGACACAAAAAAATCCCAAAATGTCCGCGGCAATTTTCCGCTGAATGTTCACAGACCCACTCTTGTTTTGTTTCCAGCTTGTTTGTCCAGTGAAGGGGGCACTACTTAAACACGGATTTGTTCATGCCCGTATTATTAACAGCGCTCCAAGACAGCCATATTGGACGTAACAAAAGTGGACACAATTGTTACGTCCAAACCGTCTAGTTTGTCCGCAGTTATTGAATAATATTTTTTTTGCATTATATAAAATCTATAATCACATATTGATTATAGTTATATCTCCAACCATTAACCATTAAATAGTGTTCTCTGTCCTGTTCATTCTTCCATTCACAAAGCCTCCAACACAAATGTAACAATTATGTCCGCCAAAGTTCATTACAATTTTTTTGAAAGGCATCCATTTTTCTTGAAACAGTTTTAGCTGCCCTTCTGAGATTTTACTATATACAGTAAATATAGGCTACATAGTATTAAAAAATGTTTAGGTACAAACATTTTTAGTTCATACATTTATTTTATTGTCGCTTGAAGTCATATCTACCAATGGTACAGTTTAGTGTGGAGTGAGCCAGATCGCATTTTTGAATAACAAAAGACTTGGAAATTGCATAATCTCACATAAGGCCATTTTCAACTGCAATCCCATTATCACTTTTTGTAACTCGCTCAAAAGCACACAAACGCACACACACGCACACACACATGCTCAGTTTACAGACAGTGATTGAAAATGTAAAATTCTAATTGAACAGATCTTGTTAACATAAAAACTGTTTCTTGAACTGCAGAGGTCAGCTCCCATTGAAGCTCTCTGAACCATAAACAAAAACCATTGAGGAAGTGCCGGGGCTGGGTTCAGAGGTCACCCGATCTCTTTTGTCTCTCTCCAATTATTCATCATGATTTGTCTTCCCGATGTGTCTGAAATCACTGAGTCGGGAGGACGGCCAGACTGCGGCACTGGCGGGGACGCTCTGGGTGGTCAGAGGATGAGCACAGCACTGACCATTAGCATCCAGGCTAATCTATCAGGCAGGAAGCACCAGTATTCTGTGTCATCTCTGGGGAGGGTCGTCTGGTACTGATGCAAACCAAATCCTGGATGTTGAAGTTGTTTAAAGATGACGTCTCGCACAGTAGGCTCTTATTTATTGCTCTGGTTGCTATGGTTTTGTCAAAGCGAGTCGCTGACAGATGTTGGATGTTGTTGGATAATATTTGGTAGTGTGGGTGTTCTCCTCTCTTCTTAAATCCAATATAAAGATAATTGCAGAGAATTTGTGTATTTGACTAGAAAGGAAGGCGGTTAAAAAGTCATCAGTTTTGAGCTTGTTTTGTACTTTTATCGACATGTGCATGTTATCAAGGACTGTGGCATTCCAGACATGCTGCAGTGTAGACTAGAACAGATCAATGCTGCTAAACAAGAAGGGCTTTTGACTGTAAATGCTGGCATATGGGCTTGATGGCAACATGAGTGCTCAGTTTGATTAGACCAACATGGCTTCTATCTGTCTGTCTCCCTGTGGGAACCACGACCAATTAGGCGGCTGAGGAGACGCACAGCCCAAGAATGAGAGATATGTAAACTCAGAGTGAAAGCAGGGGAATACCAGGCGCCCGCTCAGTAATTAGGCTTACGTTGAGTAGTTGTGGGACTGTATGTCCACAGAAAAAAGTTCTTTGAAACATTTGAGCTTTGTTGATTTGGAGTTTGTCTGAGTAATGCACATGAATGTACACATGAAGATCCAAATAACTCAATTATGGTTTATTAATTGCATCGTTTTAAATTGCAATCGAATGGAAGTGGTGATTTTCGTTCGTTGTAGTTCTTTGCAAACAACAAAAAAAGGGACTACAAATAAGCTAAAACACTGATTGAATTTGTAAAATGCTTATTGATTTGATTTGGAAGATTTTTCATTGGAACAATCAAGTTTCTTTCATATTTTTCATTACTCATTATTTTTTTCAATATTTATAAACTTTCACGATGTCCGCAACTAAGTCTGACTATAGGAGAGAAAACTACTTAAGCTTTGTTATACAGTTAACATTATTTGCAGTGAATAGCTAAAATCTCTCTAAAAACAAAAAACAAAAAAAGGTTTACTATAGGCTATATTACTTCATAACCTGACTCTCGCCAGATCCTTGTAGTTCTGCCATTCTCCACCAGAGGCCTTTCGCTGAGCTCCACACATGAGTCTGGGATCGAGGGCAATGCAAACTACTTCAAGATAGCAAAAAATAATGAGCTAATCAGGATCACCGGTGTATCGTCGGTTTGCGCTGCCTTCTTGAAATCCGCTGTTTATTATGTGTGTGTCTCACTACAGCCGAAGCAGTCCAAGATGGCAGACATGAAGTCTGTGAATGGTTTGAAAATACGAACGAATTAAGACACGACTGTCACATTTAATGCAATTTGAGGCGAGATGTTGATGTTTCCATGTTTTGTCATGTGGGTTTTAAGCGTCAAAGTTCCGTGTGAAGTTTCGTGTAAAGCGAGTCCCGGCTCAAAAACGTCCATGAGCACGTGCGCGGACCCAGAAAGAGAATTTTCCAATGCTTTTGTATGCCGTCTTCTTTCCTCTCAGAACGGCTTTAAAGGTTGGTCCAAAAGTTGGCTCTTGGCCCAAAGCTACGTTCTGTGTCAATGCTGAGGGGAGTATAAATATCTTTTGGACCACTCTAGTTTAGCCGCTGTGGACTTCAGAAGGCTCTTTTTTAAATGAATGGGGCTGGTGTCGGCTAACGCATGCGCAAATACGTTTTTTTCACATTTTCCTGCGGGAGGGGCTGCCCGCGGCCATTTTGAAAAATCCCCATGGAAGCCAGAAGTGATGGCACATTAATTTCAACGGCGGGAATAGGCGTGACTACGTCTGTTAATATTTAAAGTCTATGGTTTTAGTAGTCAAAGGCTCTTGTCAATCCACACTACGCAGCGAGGAGGCATGTGCTTTGAATAGGACATCATTCAAGATAACGGACAAGTGGTTGATCCAATCACAAATACATTGAGAAATCCCAGAACCTTGTCTGAAGCTCAGCAAACTACAAGGATCTGGCGAGTATCAAGTCAACAACTTCTTGCATTGGAGGAATAAAATATGTTTATAATTGTGTATGAGGCAATTGCTTCATATATAAGACTTTTCAAATACAACTATGCAAAATTGTACAGCCGCTGTAAAATGTTTACAATGTGATATCTGGATTATCCTTGCAAAGGAAAGGATAATTTCAGTAGATTTTTGTTATAAACACAAAATTGCTATCACTATTTAATTATTATTTTGTTCTTGTTTTGATGTTTGTGCATTTGGTAAAGTCAACACACTTAATCCAGTTTCTACATTCTAATCTGTGCCACAGCAGCAGGATTACAGTTTATTTACAGGTTGATTCCGACAAAGACAGTATGAGTGTATCTGGTGTTTGTAAACCTTGAAACATACTCCCTCTAAAACCTCTAAACCTGTGTCACAGCTTGTCCCTGGGTGGTGACTTTAATAAAAAGTGTAATATTTTCAGGTCTCGGGGCGATGGGACTTTGATGAAGTGTGAGTGAGCTTGTGCACATTTTTTCGTCTGCTTCCATAGTATCAGTGAAAAACAATGATTATGCTCTCCAGGCACAATCAGAAACACATGCCTATCAAAGTGTGCAATCGTAAAGTGCATGTAAACTGCATTAAGTCATCAGGAGACCAGTGGAAACGTGGAGGCACCAGGGATCAGGGCCTGGATACGTTACACAGGTTGAGAAACGAGAATGAAGCAAGATGGATGATTCCTCTTCCTAGAATAACCAGTCATTTACTAATCTACTGCAGGGATCAAAGTATTGTGGATACAGCTCAAGAGCCTCTTCATAATTATGGGTTTCATGCTTTGGTAACTCTCTACATAGGGCTGAAATGAGGATAAATCGATTACCAAAAAACATTGTTGCGTCTTTAGATTGATTAAAACTCCTGTATGTGAAACTGTTGCACATCAAGCCCCATTTGATACAGAATAGTTTTGCAACGTAGTGCTGCTTTGAAGGCCATTGAAGACATTTTAGCCTAATCTTTTATCGATTTTAAATCATACTTCCTCCTAAAATATACTAAATATGCACTTAATGTCGTAAAAGAGTAGTAGTAAAATAATTGTTAGCTTTATAATAAGTCTGTTTCATCCAACCCCTTTAGTTTTCACACTTTGTTGCTGTTTATTTTTGTAACCTATTGTGTTTTTCTCTTTTGGTATGAAAGTTTGAAATAGATAATTACTATACTAGGAACATACCACACTTTACATAAAACGAAGAACAAATGAGATGTGTTTTGTTAAAAAAAAAAGCAGTGTGGCATTTGTGCAGAACACAGCAACCAATCTGAAGAGAAATGGAGAAAGCTTTTTAGTTCTGTTTAGTTCGTTTCGTTCTGTTGAGTTTAAACCGTTTTTGAGACGACCCCCAAACACTGAAGATAAGCCACAGTAGTCTACAAACAAAGAAGCATTATTGCTGATGGTGTTGGTATTATTATATGGAGATTCTGGTTTTTGTGTGTGTTATTCCTATCATTATGAACACAACTGTCTGTAAAGTGAGTGTTTTCTGTGAGTGCAGGGATGTGGGTGGTGATCGTGCTGCTGCTCGTCGCCATCGTAACGGTCGCTGTGTGGCCCATGTGAGGAGCTCCGGGACCACTGCACTTTTTCATTCATCGATTCCCTTTTGCCAATGTCCTTAAAATAAAGATAACAAATGATCATAGTTTTAATGTAGTACCAATCGTCACTCACTAACACAATGATTCTTAACGCTAGAGCAGTAAACAAACATATGTTTTTAATGTTACTGACCAATGTTCTCTGTAAATACTGGTAATGAGAGCTACTTTTCAATAAATCCTTTTAAATTATATCAATTTTGTAATGCTGGTGTCGTTCAATGAATGAGCAAAAACATTAGAGATGCTTTAAAGCTTTAAGATTTTATTTATTCTGAAAATCTGACTTTAAATCTACCAGGTTGATGTGTTCAGTAGTTATTATTTCCTTTACCGCAAAGATCTAAACAACCACAAACAATTATAAAAACTGGATTCACAATGTCTTGTGTCATTAAATATATTCATATAAATCAACAATAATATATTAGTACACAATGTAAAACAACATTTCAACAATGTCTGCAATGGTGACCGCTAACCAACATTTACAAGTCATAGTATAAACATAAAGCAATGGCTGAGGCCGCTGCTTTGAGAAATTTACAAGTTACAGGTGTGATCACAGGTGAAATGTGCCAAAAACATTGTTATTGCCAGGAAAAATAATGCAGAATATTGTACAGATGAAACTCAGAGAATCATTAAAAACGGTCTATTGTCTAGAGTTACATACAACATGAACACCTGCGGCTTATATTCAAGTGCGGCCAATATGTGGGAAAAAAATACTTTGTTTTCAGATGTTGCTGGTGTAATTTATATACAGGTCCAGCAAGTACTCATCGTTCAAAAGTCTGTTTACTTCTGTAATTCAGCTTACAATGTGAAACGCAACATGAGATATATCCATTCTTTATCTGTTATAATGTTGGTAATAACTCAAAGCTTGTACAACACTCAAATAAATACAACTTTTTTTATTATTTTTTTGGAAAATTACCATCAGAATTATAACAAACAACGGCTTGTCATATGTATCTTTGCATGTTATGAGTCTACATGCAATTCTAATTTCGCAAGTTTCACCTGTATGTCATTGAAGTGGCTGAAATTTCTCCCCATTGTCTGTTCTGAAGAATCCCACTGTTTTGAAAGCGTGTCGAAAAAACGCCCATAACCTCCACATAAATACTGCGAAATACTTTACCCGCCAGCTCATCTGTTCTTTGTAGTTTCGATTGAATCCAGGTGAATGTGATTCTCAACCCATTCAGAAAAGTCTTGGACAAATTACGAAGGTTTTCTTTGTTATTACCATTTTGTAACAAGGGGAGAAGAAGAAAACCCGTTGAATGAAACACATGTGTGCCTAAAAGTGAACTGAAGGGCCCTTTTATAGATGTGTGTGCAGTTTAAAAGGTGCTAAATGCGGTTTGGACACATACACATGCCAGAGACATCAAAAGTCTTCTGACAGTGTTTGGACTGAGATAACTCCAGACTTTATGATACATTAGATAGAGTTTATAGAAGCTGAGTGCTGCTATTATCATGCTTTCTTCTGAGAAATGGAGGATGCGAAGCTGAACTGCAAACAAACACTTTTACAATGTGGTTTAAATGAGGTTTGTGATTCGCCCAAACCTTGTTGAACGCATGTATATTATTTTTGCATGTTTTGTTTGGTGCAGAGAACAAATACATCCATATGACACTGAAGCTGGCTCTTTCAGATGTGTAGATACGGAAATCCAATTAAGTTCATTCAGGTCTTCAGGTAAAATGAATGTAAGTATGTTTGTAGTACTTTTATGTGAGAATACTTTGAAAACATGAACTGATTATATTTTGAAATGTATTTGTAGCATCTTCCATCACTTGGTCCAATCAGCAAAGAACCGTATTCGGAAGACGTTTACACTCATTTTGCATAATGTTGTAGTGTGAAAATGCGGGGATGGATTAAAACACCATTTTAATACATGGGTTGATATTATTAATTAGAGAGGGCAAAACAAACTGGCATACATCACTAAAAGTTAAGTTTTCATTCATTTGCAGGTGGTATTCTTGAGTTCATTTCAAAATGTGTTCCTTCCATTGTTTCAAAGTAACTATTCCACCAAAAGAGTAATGTATTTGGATTACAGTTACTCAAAAATAGTATTCCGAAAAACAGTACATAGATTCCATTACTCCAAAATACTGGCCCTCAGGATATTCAAAATCTGCATATTGGTCCCAGCATAGCGCGAAAGCCGTCAGTCAATGGTTGTTGTGTTGACCATTAATATACATTTTAATTTATAAAAAAAAAAAAACTTAAAATCCCAATAAAGTTTAGTACTTTTCAGGATAAGCTTTACACTAAAATAACTTTCTACATGTTTGGATACATTTTGTACACTTGTCAAACAGTACTTGGAAACTTTTTTTGTAATATAGTCAATCTCTTTTTTAAATGGTTTGGGAAATCCAGATGTCTTTGTTGATACATGATATTCATTAGCTAAAGAGCTGGTTTGTATATGTTCCTAAGAAACCCCTATTGGTGGATGCAGAGTAGTTTAATTACATGGATAAAGGATTCGTTCTCTGTTGCCAGATTCCACAGGTGAATACATTTCATTTGCTTCTATCCACGTTACAGATATCTGCAGGGTGAGCTCCTTCAACACAAAAGTTACAATAAAAAAATCATCCTAAACATCTCTCTTCATGCGTCTACACAAAAAGCAGCGACATAAACAGTCTGTTCTCTGTAGTCATGTGTCTCTCACTGTTTTAAAACTCTTTTGTTCTGCTGGCTTGAGCTCAGGGCTTCTTGCATTTGCCTTTCTTCTCTCTCTGCTGAAACTTCCGGAGCCTGCGAGCCCACGTGTCTCTCCACTGGATCACCAGGCTGCCCTTGTCAGCCACCACGCCGCTCTGCCCGGGGGAGTCCTCATTGTTGCCCAGGAGCAGGTATTTCTTTCCCGGTTTGATTTTTGGACACTTGCAGGCCACGTCTTTGGCCCGCACCCACAAGAACTGGTCTCCGCGGCGGATGCGGCTCTCGCCCTGTTTGTACACCGAGATGATGTTGACGGTGAACTTCCACCACTCTCCGGCCTTGTCTGCTTTCAGAATGTGCACTTGGACAGCTGCAGACACACAGGAGATAACAGGCTCGGAAATAATACAAAAAAAATGACGTAGTAGTTCTAAATGAGGATAAACCAAAAGGACACAAAGGTGACTAAAATCTGAAAATAATTAAACTCCAGAGGAATGGATCACCTTTTATACAGGTCAATTATTACCCAATTTCTAGAAGCAACATTTTCTATAGTATATATAATTGCATAATGTCACTGTTCAAATCTTGGGTGATGTTTGATACAAATAAAATGACATAAACAGGACAACATTTGGCATTTCTTGAACATTTTTAAAGACCCTATTCAAAATGGTTTTTGACTGTTGGCATTTTTAATAACCACATTTGTATTGAAATTGGTCGTGAATATTTTTAAACTGTGACAACTCCAATTACCATAGAGCTAGTTGGCCTCCATGGTCTTCAGACTCTCAAGCTCTACAATAACTACTGACTGGTTCTGTCTTGTCAAAAGCTACTTTCTTTATTCTATTAAAATCTCCTTAAGCACTACTGTAGGCCTTAGTCAAGAAACCAGTCAACAGCTAGTGATTTGTAATGTGTTTAGGAAGTAAAGCTGAAAAAGAACTCGTGACTGGTTGGACTGGAGAGGAGGAAAGTAACCTCACAGATACGGGACGAAATTGAACCATTCCTGAGTTGATTTGGAAAGATTTAGCTCATAATTACAAATGTTAAGTCTGTTAATTAGTATGGAAGTGGACTTTGAACTGTTTTTGACAACACTATACAAGAAACCAACATCATTTCCACACGCTAGCGCTTTTTGCAATACATATTTACGTCCTCTCACAAATATATAAACTTATGATCGTGTTTAACTATCTGTACTTTGACCAAACTTTGACAAATATGATTTTAATATTTGTGTGCTAAACTGTGAGCCTACTCTAAAAGAAGCCTTACATGGAAGGAGAGGTGTCTCTAATCTGCTTTAACCCTTTCAAATCGTGTCTGTCAGTGTGCTGAGCAATGCCTCTGTCGAGATCAACCAACCGACTTCAAACAGGGGCAGAGAATAGAGCAAGGGTCACACGTCTTATCCACACCTCTGAATGGCGTGGTGGACCGGCGCTCACAGGAATGTGGCGGCCTTAATGAGAGCTCCACTAGCCGTCTCGGTGGTCAAAAGCCCACTCAGCTCATCCTTCATGTGGGCCTCCTCTTCCACCTCCCTGCTCTATCTTCTCTCCTGTTTGATTCTTTGTCAGTATCTCAGAAAGCCAGAGTAAGCCGTCAGAAAAAGGCTGGGATCAAACAGCAGCTTTCCACCAATGCACTACAATGTGAGTCTACACAAGTGGATGTGGCCCTTCAATGATGTGGCTACATTCAGTTTTCAGACTCCTGTTACATGCAGTATTCTGTAATTTCCCCATTCAAAGTGTATGCGATAATTATATGTTATGTTATATGTTATATGTATGTAAAGGACAACTGCCATTCTTTCTCATCCTTATGAAACGAGTGGGTCAGTCTGCATAATAAACCTGATTTGGCAATTCATTTCAATTCTAAAATGACGTTGATGAAACATGAAAGTGGTGCTGCAGAGTGTAGAGGTCTTCACACTTACCATAGTCCTTTTTGCAGTACTTCTTCATATTGATTTTCAACTTCCCTTTTGAAGCTTTACAATACGACTCACAGTCTGTTGGGATCAAGCAGAAAAGAAGAATGCAGTTCAATTTATGACAAAACATTTTATTGTATTAAATATATTTTGGTTTCTCTTTTTTGTATCAAATGTCTTGTTTGTACCAAAGCTCTGATTTTTACTTTCAACAAGGAGATGTGTTTATTATTATTATTATTAAGTACTACTTAAACAGAAATTAAGTTAATAAATTCCTTTAAAATATGAAAAAAAATAAATAAAATGCAGGTGAGAACACGCAAGAGCTCTGGAGATGAGCCTTGTACTGCATTGATGTATCTTTCGTTTTAACGTTTGTTTTCTATAAATATTATTATTACATTATTATATATGTTTTTTTTACTGGATGCATGTGTTTTTGTTTTGCTGTTGATTGTACAATTTTTTTTAAATATTTTTTGTTACAATTTCCAAGCACATAATTGTGATCATTCAGCACTTTCTCTTTCTCGAGCTCTATTGAACTGATTAGTGGTACTTGGCAATAGAAGCATGTACTATTTTTTCACAAGATACAAATTGCCATTGGCACTGCCCCGCCCACTCACTCTCAGTGGGACTGTGGGAATGGTGCATGTGGACCACCCTCTACCCTCTTCACCTCCAGCCCCTCAGCAGAGCCCACCGCGCCTGTCACGTCAGCCAGAAAGGCCCCTCTAAGAAGCTGCGCGTCAAGCCTTTTGCATTGATTGGACAGTGCTGAGAGTGGGGGGCGTGAGGAGGAGGTGTGAAGGGGTCAGTGCCATAGAAAAGGAGGTCAGGAAGGGAGAATTAGCCACACAGGCTTTTTGGGCCCTCATACAAAAATGCCTCAAGCCGATAAAATTGGGGTCTAAATCAAGATATTTTTTCAAGAATTTGTTTATATAAGATAAGATAAGATAAGATAAACCTTTATTAGTCTCACAGTGGAGAAACGTCAGTGTCATCGTTGCGCACATTACAGCAGAGAAAGGAAATAAGAGCACTCAGATTGCACACATCAAAGTCTATTATTTAAGATAATCAACAATAAATTTAAGATAAAATAAAATAAAATAAAATGAGATAAACTCTGAAATATACCATCGATAACCCTATAGTGTTCGTAATGCACAAATGGAGCAGGTGAAAATACTGCTCAACCAAAGCTCAACCAAAACATGCATACACTAGTTTATAACATGTACAGCTGCACTCATCAAAGTTTTTTTTGTGTAATTCTACATCATATTTAATTTCTCTAAGTGCAATTTCTCCATGCTGTTTCCTATAACTTTTTTTCATCACGACTGCCAACCTAGACATCAATGCAGCGGACCGTCTTGGATCTTGGCAGGAAGCTGCACTGTACATGCCTTCACTCTTATGATCGATTACCAGGGGGTTAAGAAGCCAACGCTTTCACCTCCACCACAAAATGCAGCTTCCTGATTACTCAATGCTTTGCTGTCACGCTGCCAGACACCTATACTACTCACTTAAACTGCAGGGTTTCAAAAATGCCTGTATTCTATAATGGTTACACGGAAAACCTGTTAAGAACACTTGCAGATGGTAGCAGAGGATTCAATTCAATTTAATTCAATATATTCTTGTATAGCCCTAAATCACAACAGTAGCTATCTCGGAGGACTTAACAAAACCGTTGAATTTGCCAACACAGATCAGAAAATCAACAATTCAACACAATCTGCAGGTCTCGAGCATGGCACATCAGCTAAGAAAAAAAAAAATATTAATGTAAGCAATTGTGCGGGCCGGACAAACAGAAAGTGCTGTACAACTGGCAAATGAGAGAGAGCACTGTACAGAAGCTGCCCCTCATTTCCATGTAAATGATTGAGGGGGCTTTATTTTCTCATCACCCCCCTGACGCTTCATGATACTTGTCTTTGATAGCCATTCGTTCCCCATTAGTGTACCCCAGAGACACCCCCAGATCCTTATTTAAGGCCAGGCCGTCCCCTGCAGGGAGGACAAGCGTCGCCTTTGTGTGCTCCGTAGAAGCAGGGGAAGTGGGAGCCGTCCTGCAGCATGGGGCTAAGATGTGCTCGGGTAGATGTAGTTACCCCCGCTTTGTGCCAGTCTTTCAGTGCACTCAGAGCGCCGTAACTGAGAGCTGCACCTTTGGCCTCACTATCAAAGTGCTGAGCAGCATTTAAGCTAATCGTCCTCATTTGGCGTGCACTGTACTCTGGGGCAACCTGATGGGCTTTTGTTCTGCTTTGCTTTTTCTATTTCTCTAATCTAAATAATTATATAAAGCTCCTTTTTTGGGTTGATTACATGTGATCATAAAAAAATCCGTTTTTTGGCCCATTACTGTAAAACAAAGATTAATTCAATGAAATCATATGCAATAAATGTAGATACCATGTCAGAGGCAGCTCAGTGTCAGCAACATGGTCAACAACAAAACGGTGCAAATGACAACCTAGGAGGAGGCCTTTCTCCCCCAGTCGAATGAATTAGAGGCAAATTGTAGCAAATAAAGCATGTAATTAGATTATGGAGCCCCGCTTTGCTCACACAACAGTGAGTTGGATCCAGTCCTGGGACAAGCACAACAGAGGACAACAATAGGGTTCCTTCAATATGCAAAAGATCCGCTGTTTAGATCTGTTTAGAAATGTTCAACACAGCAGGCATTGAATGAAAGCTGTGTTCCATAAAGTTATCAATCTCTTTTCACATTACATTAAGCATTAGTCATTGTCCACATTGATAGAGTGACTATTCACTATAAGAGTGAAAAATGACTTTCCATCTAAAAACCGAGACCATCCAGGAAGCACACACATGCACCATAAATCCCAGGAGGTTCAGACAATATCGCAGTTTAAAAGAAGGGTGTGTAAGGGAAGATTCATGACCTAATATCCCATCGGCTTCGTCACAGCTCTTGATGACTTCCAGAAACACAACATGTATGACCCAAGTGCAGGAGGAGAACACTACTCATGTTTTGACTGGAAATCGTGCATGTTACAAAATATATCATTTTTTGGAATATACCTATGTGTGCTTTAAGTTGATGAACACCACAATGTATTATTACTTATGATAAAGCCTGGGTTTCAATGAACAAAATCAGTATGAAATAACATTCACACAGTTCCTTGCTCTATCCAAAAGATAAGATGTTTTCTAATGTGTCTGGTGTAATAATTCTATGCCTCCCTCCCGTTCTCATCATCATCATCAGTTGCCATGGCGGGTCACCAGCGGTTAATCTGCTCCACATTGCGGCGCGGTGCAGACGTCTCCTTCACGACCCGGAGGAGTGGTTGCCTCACACCATCCGTGACCCTGCGCCACAATGTGTGTTTTGTCTGGGCCACACCATCCGCACTATTCTCCATGCATTCCAGCCCTCCGTGTGGTCGGCTGACACACAAATTAATATAAACTCCATTATACCCTCACACTTGTGTTCTGTTACCCCAACGGCAGAAAACATCATTCTCAAAGATCAATTGTGGCAAATCCGAGCATTTGCACATTCTCACGTTTGCTAGCAGCGCATCCAATTCTGATTTATTTACAACAATGTTAGTTACCTGGTACAAGATTAATGCAATTAGTTGGCCGATAATACTTGTAATAGGGGTTAGGCATAAATCTCGACTTCAGCCTAAACCCCTTTCAGCCAGGCATTATATAGCACTAAAACTCTTAAAAGACACAATTTCGTTATTTTGTCCTTATTGTGAGATGTATATACAATCTTTGAAGACATTGACCTATTGTTTTCTAAAGTACATAATGGCCGAAGAAATAAATAAACTACTATGACTACTACATCATGGAATTAATGTAAATACATATATTTTGAATACATTTACCCTGGAGAACATATTAATAGAAATGACTTGTTACATATTGTGTTGTTTGATTGGAAACATTTGTTAAAGGTATATCTAGGAGGATTTTCCAGAATCAGAGGAAACGGCTATTGAAACGTGTCTCGCATATCACCAGAATGATTGACAATTAGGAGGACCAATAGTCTTGATGATCCACCCGGAAGAAGAAAATCCTCCCATATACCTTTAAGGTCCAAAATAATAGAAAGGATTAGTTGTGATTATTTGATAAACTTCTAGACTTCAGTTCTATAGACAATACGTACAAAATGTGAGACGGTATATAGTTTTCTACATTACAGAATTACAGCTTGCAGTGTTTTTCAGTCACAGATTTTTTTTTAAATATATTAATTCTCAATGTTTTTTTTAAAGTTTGGGGTTGATTTATGTAACCCATTTGGTAGATGTACGAACCCACATTATCTGTGGCCAAAACAAGCACTTTTCCCCTAAGTGACATTCTTTTCACAGATTTGCTGTAATTAGCTAATGATGACTTATCAACACTTTCATTGCAGTCACAACACTCCAAAAGGGAAATAAACAGATACAGAGGCAGCTGCAGCATACCGCCACTGGGCTCATTAATAACATGACTCCAACAGCATCTTTAAGTGTGCTAAAAACATGGTTTGATGCACATCTGTTTGCACTCATATCTGGTGAAATCACGGTTGTTGACATTTCAGCTGGAGCAGAGAAGCAGCGCAGTCTCATGAGGAGTGGTGAGGATAATGTATGCATCGTCTGTGTGGTCCGACGGGACTCAGGATTCTGACAGGACCAGAGCTACATGTCCATCAAAACCCTCTGCTTGAGCAATCTGCTTGATTTCAACTCCTCTCACTTTCGCCGCCTTTTTACACGCGCAGAGGGAGACCAGCTTGATGCGATTACGAGCGGTTACCTTTCGCTACGGTGTGTTTTTCAAGAAGGCTCTGATCGCAGAACTGGGGATCATCGTCCAAAAATGCAAAACGCAGCTATAACCAACTCAATAAAATACACAGGCTCTCATAAAAAAAGGAGTATTTTGCAATCACGCACATGCTACAACAACTTCTCAACAACCACAACCCTCACCGATACCTCACTTTCACTGTTAAATTGAGTTTCGAGTTCAATGTACACCTAGACGTACTGTTTTTTATCCAAACTGTCTTTGTGAAATGTATGTTGCTGCCCTCTGCTGTTTACTCTACAATTTGTTGCATAGCGCCGGAAAGATGGCGGCGTGGCAAGAGCTCTGGTGTGTGCTGTCTTCTCTGTCTGATGCACACTGGAGTAGTCTTGCACAGTTATTCCAATGTGGGTTTACTGCAAATGGCAAATAAAGTCTTGTATCTTGTATGAATTATCAAACGCCACTACATAAAAGCTTTCTAGCATATCATTCATTTACAATTACGTATAACAATCTTACATTATTCAAACTCGAAAAGGAGTGGGAGGAAGACTAAGTCGCCCCTCAAAAACTTTGGCGTTAATTTCGTTGCAACTCTCAATTCTGTAATACAATGTTAGCTTCTGGTTCTTGCAAACAAATAATAAATAATAATAAATTATCTTCTGGAAAATATGAATAAGGTGAAGGAAATTTCCCAGAGACAGGTTTTTTTCTTGACAAAGGGGCCCAGAGGAGCAGCCGATCCTCTGCTCGCCACCACCCACTGTGTTATGTGAAGACAAAGCGTGACACAGAGGGAGACCAAGGAGGTGGAGAAGGGAAAATCTATATTCAAAGAGTAAAAGGAAAGTGGTGGAGGAGGGTTAAAGTCCGGCTATATCCTGACACTTTTCCAGGGAGTATTCAGGGGCGAGAACCACCAAACAACAGCTGTGCACTGGGGCCACGCAGGACTTACAATCTCATATGGCGAGATGGTTAAACGCGAGAGAATGTGGACTTTTCTTCCGCTAGCAAAACCGTGTACTTTCCAGGGAACTAGGAAAGAATCACAGCTAGGAATATATGCAGTGGTGACGAAATCTGAATTTTATTTCAACGTTGTACTGTGGACCCTTGTTAAATCTGTATCACTGCTAAAGTTGACATTATTATCTGAATAACTGAACATATTCATTTTATTGATGTTAAAACGACAAGACCAAAGATTTTCAGAATGGATGTATTGTAGACGCTCCAATCATCAGCTGCCAGTAGCTTCGGCCTTCAGATAGCATTCAAGAGGAAAATCAGTGTGTATAGACAAGCTCAGGTTTAACCAAAATTGCTTAAAAGTGTTATAAAATATCCATAATTGCTACTCTATATATGTGCAAATATGTCACCAACATGAAAACATTCTGATATATAACATTCAAATGGATTTATGGATTATGGATTCAAATACTTATGTTTGCCTCCATAAGATGCACTTCATTTGCCGTTTGTAAAATAATTGTCACTGTCAAACGAGAACGAAAGCGCAAAACCAACCAATAGCTTGTGGAAAGAAAGTAATAATGGCGCTTTTGATGACGATTGCTAACACGATTATCGTTTCAATATAAATCCTTAGTTAATGACTTGATTGCATGGAATATTTTAATGGATTTTATTGTAAAGCACTTTGGCCTTGGGTGTTGTAAAGGTCTCTATTAAATAAAACATTGATTGATTGATTGATTTTGTAATTTCAATGAGGTTTCGAAATCTCATCAAAATATAGTTTAACATTTTATAATGGTGCCCCCTTACATTGGGCATTGAGTTTGAGCACTTTTCCTGGTTTCAACACAGACATATGAAGCTTGCTGTGAGTAAGCCCTATTTAGTTAAAACCCTAATGGACCGACACTAGAGCCAAGTGATACACCATTTGCATACTTGCAGCATAAATCATTTGGCAGAAAGAATAAGTTAATTATATAGGATCCCATTGCAAAGGGACACGTAGGAAGAGTTGCCAGAGCAAACAAACTGCCTGGGCCCCTCAGATCCACACCCCACCGAGCTGCACTTAGCCTGATTAATGACGAATGTGTAAGAGATTAAAGCAGCCACGTCCCAGCACTGCAGCTAATAGACTCAATATTCATGAAGTGCTAATAAGGCTGCAGAAAGTCAACAGGGATCCAATTTATCCCAGGCTTTCTTACACTTATGAAAAAAAACATATGTAATTCCTGCCTGAATCAAAAACACATCACGTTCCTTGGATGTTTTCAACTTGGCCGGATGATTTGAGCAGAAGACAAAAAACAATACAAAACTGATGCCATATAGACTCACCAGAAGGTTCCTCCGGGCTGGTGGAGGCCGTGGTTGGGGGTGCAATTGGAATTTCTGCTCAAGAGGGAGAAAAGAATTGTTATTTTAGTTTGATTGAGGACATTTTAGGTTATTATGTTTACAGACAAGCTTTCAGTCATAAAAGAGTCAAATATTGATTTTGATTATTTCACACGTGTTAAATGGATACATTAGTAATCCTCTGCTTCAAGAAAAGGAAAACAATATAAATGTCTTTATATTGTGGAGTGCTGAAAGTGATTGTGCAGAAAAAAAGTAAAAAAGATAGAAGGTACAGTGTATAAATATATATAAATACACAAATCTCTACAATGGCTTTAATCACTTACAATTGAAACGTAAATGTCACAAAGGCTGTATCCTTTTTTTGACTGATTAAGCAGAACGTTTTTGGGGGCCATTTGTCACCGTCGTAATGGAAAATTAAAGCTGAGGTACCTTGCCTTTGAAACCATAACAAGTAAAGTAATCTTTCTTAAATATAATTATTATTTATTTTTTATTTTTTTTATTTTCTTGTATATGTAAGCATGTGACCTGAGATCTGGTGTACATATTGGCCGAAGAAAAAATAAACTAACTAACTAACTAAAATATACATATGCAAAAGGTCACCAGATGAAGACAGAACGTTATGGTCCGATTGATCACAACATTTTACTTTTACAAGACTCTAAATGTATAGTATGAATAAAGCAAAGTTAGGTATCCCAGCTGTAATGCTAATTTGAATTGTTTACATCCAGAGAAGGAGCCTAAACGCTTGTCTGCAGGAAAGACAGTGAGAGTTTGTTGGAGATTCATTATGAACATGAAAGACTAGTGCACGTACTTATGCAGGGGGCAATGGGCGAGCGGCTCTGCTGGAAGCCTTTAGCACAGCGGTTGCACGTGATACCAGTGACGCCGTCTTTACAGGGACATTGGCCTGTGGTTTGGTTACAGGTTTTGCCAGCAGCGCCCACAGGATGGCAATCACATGCTGTAAGGGGACAGAGGCAGAGAGAGGCCGTGAGTGACACACAAGTGAAATCAAAACTATCCACACGAGTGCAAGGGACACACAAGCTGAGAGGGTGAACGTGCGCACAAGACACAACTACAGCCTACATCATCTCATTTGTCTGTGGCATGTTTTAGAATTCCGTTTCAGTTGCCAATACAACTCTATGGGGAATAAAACATTTCTTTTTTTTAAAGAAATGTTGAAAAAGAAAATGTCCAAGCGTTTTCCCAGATCATTATTAAATTAATGATCTAAGAAATAATATACAAACCAACCATATAATTATGTCTGAAAGTCCTTCTACTGGCCAACATCATGCATGCTTTTTGTCCCAGGAATTAGCTTTAATCCAAGGTGACTTTTGACGATTACTATGGTTACAAGAAGAGACCCTCCACCACAACTTTAAACTATAGGCTCTTATGTTGTGATGTCATGAATGTAACCTATTGTAACGTGGGAAAGTGATTAAGTAGACAATGTTACTGACTCTTTACAACTGCTGTGGACGCCTGTCTCATCACAGTGTCTTTTTATACTGCTATTGGTCCAATTGGCGAATAGATTGCAAATTATTTTAGAATTTCATAACTGTATATGCCGGTATACAATCCACGGATAAAAAGAGCTGAAGTAGAGTTATGTGGAATACATCATGAGTTCAATTTGCTCTTAACCAAACAGTTTAAAAGCCAGATAAAACAAATAATAATCAATTAAATATATATTTCAAAACTGTGTTGTACATATTAAACAAGAAGAGCAACAAACATACACTGTAAACAGAAAGACAGTTTGATAAGAAGCAGGTGCTTTTTTGTTTCCAATCCCTCTCAATCCTCCAACACATACACACACACACACACAGACACACGCACGCACACACACACACGCACCCACACACACGTACACAAACACACACACATATATACAGTCGTTCAGACACAGGCCCAAAACACTCCTTGACCACACCCCTCTCCCCCCTTCCATTGCTCTTTTCTGAGGGCAAATTTGTTTCTGCAAATTTCTTCAATACTTTTAAGTTTCATGTTTTAAACTGAAACTGAATTTAACATGCTTCAAATCCCCCCCCCCCACCCCCCTTGTTCAGTAGTTCAACATTAAGGCAGATACATTTGTTTATGTATTTTCATGCAATCAAAATAAATGTTGGCTCCTTCTTGAATCCTTTCCAATCTACCGCCATTAACAAAACATGCTCAAGATTGCAAACTAGAGGAAAAAACAACTTTTGGACACATTCTCAAATTGGAGATATCTGTGTTGCAAATTTACAGCAACTACGGTTCTGAGCTTTGAAACACATTTTCCGTTGTTAAGCAAGTGTTGCGGCTCATTCGTCAACAGAATCCCGCTTTTCCGCTGTAGATCAAAACTGCCAACATCCACGTCCGCGTCACATGTAACATAAAACAGACCTTCTCATCTCTGGCGTTTGCGCAGATGGCTACATGTTTACAAAAATGATTCAACAGTGGGGAATAATCCTAATTGGCTGTTTTTGATTATTGTGAGTCTTTGAACGTCAGCCCCTAAACGTCTGTCACACTTCCTCCCAAACTGGCAAACTGGGGGGTCTCTCTATGGCCACAATATGCTTAAGGAATGCAATCTTTTTAAAGTTCACCCCAATATCAGCTACATTTATGTCACTATAAAAATCCAGTAAGGCTCAAACCACTCATGAATAATAAATCATTTTCTGCCTTGATAAATCTCTCTATTTTGGACACGGACATATTTGAATTTTGAGTGTTTTGGACTGCAACTGGCAGCTACAGACTCTTGAACTTGACCAGAAGTGCCTCTGTAATCACTCTTTGTAAAAAAAAAAATGAAGCCAGGGAGTACAGTCAGTGCTTGGCTCAGGCCTGTCACTTCTTGTGTTAGATAAATTGAAGCAGAAGATAGTTTTCCAAGCTCTTCAGAGAGTTCTGCGTCTCATCATTTGTCACATTGTAAAATACTTCAATACTTCTATGTGTTTGTGAAAGTTTGGTTATAAAATATTAGTCAGTTTTGGACGTCAACTTGCAAATGATACCTCAGCAATTTTTTCTGTCCAAGTACATTTAAATTAAACTTTCTGATTAATGCTGAACATGTATGCTTTCTTAATTGGTCTGTTGCTTTATTAACATAGATACTGTAGATAGATAGATACAAAAAATACAGTGTATGTAAGTGCTGGAGTTTGCAAAGCTCCGTATCTTACTTTCCAACCACAAAGTATTCCATCTAAGGTTCCCTGCTCACAAAACAGGTTGGTTCTATCTCTAGTTTTCACACACACAGTGGTCCTTCCTTTATCGCGGGGGTTATGTTCTAAAAACAACCTGCAATAATCTAAATCCGCAAAGTAGCAGCTCTTTTATTCAAGGCTGTAAAACTCATCACACACCACCTGAACCCACAACTGCTGATGTGGGATCCCAGATATACCCAAACCTGTTCGTTGTAGGTCTGAGTGCTGCTGCAGCTGTCAAAAGCTGTGCATACACTGTCAAATAGGCAGGAGCAGGACTGAAGGCTACAGGAAGACCGAGGTACGTTTCTGAACTAATCACTGCGGTGCACACAAGCCACAAAAGTTTTCTTCTGACTCTAAGGAAAGGCAACTGTCATGTTATACCAGCGGATATATATTGTTATATGATTTTGTTGTATACATGCAAAATAGCGAGTGAGCAAATTTTGGTCTCTGTCACATTTTTGTTTGCAGTATGGATGTTTTATAACACTTGGAAGCAGTATGGCTAAAGCTGAAATCACCATTATACCAGAATGCAGGATCAGTGATTTCCCAGTTGATGTTTTGGTTATCTGAAGCTACTAGCGCCGCGGCAGGTGCTGATTGGACTGTTTTCAATCCCTTCATACTTTAAAATCACGTGCATAATGTTTGTGACTTGTCTTTACCATCGACAATAAAACATGTCTTTTTGTCTGTGACACAATCCCAGACCGATCCACATCTTGTCTCATTTTCGACAACAGCTCACAGAAAATTAAAAACGAGACGACCACTCTCACAGCCAATCAGCCCAAAGCATCAATCTGTGACTTACGGTGCTCTTTCAATTACAGAAGGTCTGCACAAGATATCTTCTAATAAGACAAAGAGTGTATAGCTGTGGTCACAAACTAAATATATTGTTATCTTTTAAAAGAATATTAGGAGTCTGGTGTGTGAGTGAATGGTTGGTGGTGGTCGGAGCTAGGGGCCAGTGGCACAGGCAGGTTGGCTTGCTTCTGTCAGTGTTCCCAAGGGCATCACCACTGTGTATGGAATGAATGAATAATGACATGTGAAGTGTCTTTGAGTGTCCAAAAAAAGCGCTATATAAAACCAATGCATTATTATTATTATTCATAAAAATAATATACATGTAGGTACAGTAGCTTTACTATGAGACTAGCATTGGATGGTGAACAGGTTCTTCAGTCTGTGATCACGGTCCGGTGGCTCAGAGCTGAAGCTGTTGAGATCCACCAGCCGTTTGTCGTGTTTATCTCCTCTCCATTTATCTCTCTGACCCGCTTCCTCTGTCGGGGCTTCTGTTACGCCTCTTATCTGCTCTGTAAGTGTGTCTAAGTGTGAACTTGATAAAACCCCCCTTATCGCTCTAAAAGGCCCCTTAGTGCTTGTTTACCTATTAGTCTCCTTATCAGAGCAATCTGTCAGTGCTTTCATGGCCTCCCCGAGTGGGAGGAACACCTCGCACAGGCAGACTAAACACCGCACACATCAGAGTGACACGTCCTGCAGCTTGTAAATCTACAAGTGAGTCAGGACATTTTGAGGCGATAAAGGCCAAAGTGCAGGAGCGGAGGAGCTTCAGAGAACTGGGGCTACATTTTTAAAGAGCATCTGCTACAAAACTATAGGTGCAAGGCTTTGGGTATGCCAGTAAATCAGAGAGCACATGGCCGACAGGTGGAACACACTTAATACACATTTGGCAACGATAAAGATGTAAAGAAATATGTGACTGCAACCAGGCGCCACCGGCCGGGATCAAGGCCCAGGGTAGAACCATATTCACCATATTCATGGGATAAAAGTTATTCCAGAATAAATATTATGCTTTATTTTTGGCTAATAAAACAGATATTTACTTCATTATTTTTTCATTAAATTATGTTTTAGAATGTGCACACTGCACTTACTGTACATACACCAGGTTTTTTTTATTTGCCTGTAAATAAAAACATTAGTTTATGCAAGTTCAGTGTGCGAGAGTTTGTTTCCTTTTCAAACTTGTCCCACCTGTCACAGACTCGGAGGATTTGCAATGTTTTCCATTTTTTCCATTTTAGAATGTGAAATAATATCCTATGTACAAAATACCATCCATATCTATCAGGGAGAGAAGTAATTTTGTTCTATGTTATCTTTTTATTTGAAAATGACCATCTGCAACCACAGACATATGGTAGAAAATTTCACTTGAGAAATTTCCCAAACTAATTTAGGGGCAATAATTTTGTTTTAAAGGCAGAAAACTGCACTGAGAAGGATGTCATAGTGTTTAAATGAGAAAATACTATTACACATGACTGAAACAGGAGCTATTAGAAAGAAGGGGGCGTACATGTTTGTGCCAGAAATTCCTGATATTAGCGAGGATGGATCTGAAATATAAAGTCTGTTTTTGATGACCTCACAGTGGATAGAATGTGTCAAAAATACATGTGAATATTGTAGTGTCCACTTCTGCTTTAACAGTGGAAGAGTAATGGAAGGCTGACCATAAATGGGCCAGCTTCCTCCAGTTCCGTTAGTCATCACCAGTATTTCAACAAATAGTTCATGAATGGTGAATGAGCCATGATTTATTGTGAGGGTGGGGACTTTTCTTCTTAGTCAGGCAGCTACAGTCACAGATGATGGGGAGAATTTACAATGTGAAGCCGCAGCCAATGATTTACCATAAAGACACTGTTGTAGTCTC